TCCTATGTCCTACGTCCTACGTCCGGCAACCTGCGTCCTACGTCCTCCTCCTGCTACTCCTGCTGCTACTGCTACTGCTACTGCTACTGCTACTGCTACTGCTACTGCTACTGCTACTGCTACTACGACGACGACGACAACTGCTGCCACTACTACTTCTTATACTGCTACTTGCAGCTTCCATTTCTGCCTCTGCTCCTACTACTTCTACGTGGACTTCTACTACTTCTACTACTGCCAATTACTACGACGACAACAACTCGTCCATTACAACGACGACGCCTGACATTACTGCTACTGTGCCTACTCCTACTCCAACTCCTGCTCCTACTACTCCTACTCCTACTCCTCCTACTCCTACTCCTACTCCTCCTACTACTACTCCTGCTGCTGCTACCAGCTAGTGCAAGGCCACTGCTGCTACAGCTAATTACTCCTGTTATTGCTACTACAATAACTGCTTCTGTTGTTGGGGTTAATGCTACTGCTAACTGCTACTGCTGCTACAACTGGTGACACCTTGCGTGTGCTGCTACTTCTGCTTCCGCTTCAACTTCCACTGCATCTTCTTCTGCGACTCCTACTGCTGCTGCTGCTGCTGCTGCTGCTGCTGCTGGTCCTGTGACCCTGCGGCCGCCTCCGCCGCTGCTGCTGCTTCTTGTACTACTTGTTCTGATCACTTGTATTTCTACTTTTTCTAGGGCCGAAGTATATGCCGCAGATTTGTATGGTACACTGTATCTACATATTCTGCAGAATTCCAGGAATATTATTCCACGGCCAGATACGCACACGCGCGGTTCTGCTACACTGCTACTACTCGTACTGCAATGCTACCAGTACCACTACTACCACCACAAGTACCTCCTACTGCTGCTAGCGCGGGCAAACCAGAACAGTAGCGGAAAACGAAGCCGCAGCCGCAGCAGTAATAGAAATACAGCTGCCACTACGACTGGTACAAGTACAACCGATGCCATCAACTCACTACAACTCATTTCTTTCAGAGGACACAGACTTAAAGACTGACATAAGCCAAGGCGACGCCTGCCATCTCAAACTTTCAACTGCAGGCATAACTTCCTGCGAGGCACCCAGAAGAGATCACCTTCAACCAGCGGCAGAGGGAAAGGGTTGAGCATCACCATGTTCCGGACCTCAACAGTGTTCTCAGCTGGCTTGCAGAGCCCATCCTGTCTGAACTCAGAGCCGTGTGCTAGACAACCATTAGTGAACAATTTCAAGCAGGACCTTTCCTGATGAAATGCCGACGAGGACTAAGAGCGTCACGAAGAAGGCTTCCTTAGTGCTCAGGATGTTCAGCTTGACGCACCACAGAATTTGACGGTTCTCAGCCGGGCACCTCAACAGGAACCTTGCCGGCAGGCTACTTTCCAACAGGAGAACGTGCCACAACTGAGAGGCGTGCTGGACATGACAAGTCAAATCAACTGCGGCGTTACAGTAGCATCCCTGCGTATGGGCAAAGCAACACTGTTCAATATGTTGGCTACACTGGCCATTCTCAGGGAAAGTGTGCAGCCATCTGCTTGTCTGCATGCCGAAGGTTTCAGAGCCCGTGCTGGCCATTGCACAAGAAAGATGCATGCTCGCAAAAATCTGTCATACAACACCGCAGTTCGTCAACGCCGCCGCAGGGGCCTCTTTTATGAACTCGGACTCGATGGTCACATTTTCACCTCAGATGCTGTCTGCATTTGTCAAGCTTCTTTGCTACGTCCATGATATTGCTGGCAGCGCTCTGCGGGAGCCGTTCCGGCATTCTTTGCCTTTTGACTCTTTCTTGGACACACGCAGAATATTCAGACTGTGATGAAATGGAGCCGAGGTCGGGGCCAGAAACCTCGCGCTTCCAGATGTAGATGTGGAAAAATCCGCTGCCAGCCTCAAAAGCAGTGTAGACCCGTACCCAGTTAGACCGACTTCTTTGTCGACAGGTTGCTTGACTCAGGGCATCTGCAGTGTAGCCAGTGACTCTTGCGGGCAGCATGCCACTCTTGCTCGGTCGCAACTTTCACTCCTCTCTCTGTCGCTCTGTCTCTCCTCCTCCTCCTCACAGCTCTACACACCTCCTGAAACCGGTACCAGAGCACAGCTCGGAGCTGGCATGTTCGAGTCTGAAGAATTGCTCGGTCTTCTTCTATGAGCTATGCAAGACAGGAGTCTCTCTGCCTCTGTTTTTTTCTCCTACGAGACAACAGCTAAGCAACAGCACATCCTGCCTCAACGTCGAAATCGAAAATCAATGGCGCGAATCCAACCTCGCGTGCCCGAAGATCACAAAGGCTTCGCACCTCTCTATTGTGCAAAACCCCGTATCCCATCCAAACCACCGCTACTTATTACTTGCTGCTTCCATTGGCTTGGCAAGCCCGTGCTGGCCTCAGGATTCACGTCGACTACGCCTGGCGCAGGATGGGATGACGCTTGAAAAATCGGCAGGGGGGCTTGGTTTATACATGAGCCACGGGGGCAATCATACCAAAAGACAGCAGCAGCAACAAGCAACAAGTCACTACGGCTGATAACCTGTGAAAAGCAGAGGAATCCACTTAACTCTCGGTCACGAGGCAGTGGGGCGACCAATCAAGTATCGAGCGAGCAACAACAGCGGCAAAAGCAAAATGCTGCAATGCTGGAGGTCATGCAGAGTTGGGTTTGTAAAGCTGACTACTCAACGAAAAGACGAGTCCTATACCTCCCTAGGTACAGCCGTATTTTGCTGGACCTTGCTACGCACGTCTTGAGCAGTCAAACGTGAGACAAAGTTGGCAAAATGCGCAACAGGTTGACAAATGTATGAAAAGACTGGTCGTGGACAAGTCACAAAATATATAATAGAAAGGAAAGAATAACACATGTATACATATATGCATATACATACATACACACATGTGCACATAGATACATACATACATATCTACACATATACATATTTACACATATACACATATACATATTTACACATATACACATATACATATATACATATATACATACATACATATATACAGA